AATTTAACTGGTTCGCACCTGATCATGGGCGTGCTTGATTGGTAGCTGGAATTTTCAGAATTGGCAGAATTACAATCAGGTTCGCCGGAATTCAATTCCGGCGCAGTTCTATCAATTCCATGTTTAGAGGTGGTGTGAAAGGAATTAAAGATGGTGGCTACTGTGTACAATTTGTCAAGAGTGCCTATTATAACATGTATGAAGTTTTTCCTTGTATTTGGACCCTAATACAGCCCTATAGACCTATTTGCAAATTAAAATTTAATATTGTTCTCATAATATTATTCAAATTATGTTAATTTTAAGTTCACCTAATAGCTGCACACAGCATGAAATTTTGTTCTTTACAGCATTCACTTGCACTTTCATCCTTCATTGCATCTTACAATAAATCATTTAATAAAATAGGAAGAAATTCTTTATTTGTCGAGCTGCAGCCATATTGTGAACTAATTCTGATTCCAGTTTTACTTGATTAGTAGAATTGTTGGAACTCTCGGAATTGAAATCTGACTTTACAATCAAGCACACCCCATGTGTTCTACGCAGCGAAGCATATATTTGATACTGTTTGATGAATTTAGTATTTGACGCGTAAATTGAAGCTCTTTTATAAAATATATTGAAAGTATTTTACATGTGTATTTAAATCTACAGCACAAACATTGCTTCATTACATATTTTTAGCTATTCAGTTTTTACTGCTTTTACTTTCGTTTTCACTACAAATAATTACGACCCCGATGCTAAATACCGGACAGACTTGTTAAGTCATACAACAGATACTTTGGAAAGAAAACACAACTGGCGAAGCTTGCTCGTTTGTTGCCCCCGTTTAAACTAGAGAATATCAATTTCAGTCTGTCTGTCAGTCCATCTATAGTTCTGTCTTTCTGTAACACTTTCTCTTCCCCGCAATATTGCGTGAAGTCTTTGAGCTTTTGCAGTGAAATTTTACACAACTGTTTATACTTATATGGCCATTAGAAGACCCTCTTGATTTTGAGGTCAAAGGTCAAGGTATTAAATTCAGAATTTCTGTCTGTTTAAACACTTGTTTTTGCGCGATATCTCTATAAGCACTTCAATTCTACTTTTTATGAAAAAAATTAAGCCAAAATTCAGGTAGTTACTAGTAAGTCAAATGACGATAGTTAATTAATTAAAAAAAAAGCTTCGGCTATACCTTCAAAGCTTACATTTTACCTGTTTGAATGAACAATGAATTTTTTTTAAATTCTAAATTGTACTAGAAAAAATACTAGGCATTTCAACAATCCTTTATTTGTATTCTCAAACGAAGGTTCAGTTTGGCTGTTTAAGTAACGCAGGGACTAAACACCAAGCCAAGAGTGATTAAACCGGCGGCATGATAAACTCTAACAAGGATGATAGTGAAGCTTACTGGGCTCCGTTTTGTTAGAATTTGGCATTTAATATCCATATATCCCCCTCCCCCTAAAATCTTATAGATCTGATACATGTAATGAGATTGTAGGATTATAAATTCTTTGAATTATGTTATGTGAATTGGAACTTAAATTAATGTGTATACATACTTTCCGTTCTTTTGATTTTGAGACAAAAAATGCAAGAATCTGCATGCACAAACGCTTCTGTTCCTATGCAGAAAAAATATTAAGACGATGTTTTGATTTTAGTGCCCAAGTCTGCTACTGATTAAAAATTTGTTGAAGGCATTTTTTTCAGTTATCTATGATTCTTTAAAACATTATCATAGAGAAGAAAAATCCACTGGCTGACTCTCTAAGCTTTTTTTTAAAAGCTAAACTTGTAATAATCTTTCCAGAAATTGTAAAAGTCAAGTTTATAATTGTACTGCGCATCAGAATCATACAAACGTTTGATTTTGTCAAGCGTCTAAATAATAATAATGTTGCATCTTTTTCCGGTCGCGATTATTATGCTTGTTGGAGTACCACAGATTATAATTATTGTATGATGGCTGTGATGAACAAGATTATTGAGCGGAAAAAAAAAATTCTGTTCAATTGTTTCAGTGGAAATATAAAAGTAAACAAATTTGAAGCGAAATAAAAAAAAATATTTTTACACACATATAAAGTGAAAAGATTAAAATTGCATGTTGAAAATAAAAATAATGTGTATACATGGAACAATAAGATTATCATTGTTATATAAAAATAATGTGTATGTATGGACAAACAAGATTATAATTATAAAGTAGGAATAATTATTATAATTTTGTGGTGACATAAAAATAATGTTTTTAAACATCGACTAACAAGATATTATAATCATGAGGCGAAAAATTATAATAATGTGTCCACATTGACTGGCAAGATTATTATTGTAATGTTGGGATCATTATAATTGTAGGACAACATAATTATAATGTGAAAAACATCGACTGACAAGATTTTAATCAATAGGCGAAAAATTATAATAATGTGTTTACATATTGACTGACAAGATTATTGTTGTAAAGTGAATCATTATAATTGTAGGACACAATAATAATAATGTGTACACATTTAACAGAGAAGATTATAATTGTTGCAGGAAAATAATAATAATGTTGTAAAAAGCAAGTTTGGGTGAGATAATTATTTTTGGCATAGATATATAGAAAAAAAATTAATCTTAAGTTCAAATTTTTAATATGCATACCATGTATTAAACTGCACCATCGGGATAGCTCTTGTTTTATTGGTGGCAACCTATACTTGAAAGTTGTGTTGCAGTGGAATAAACACGAATTTATTGTTATGGTGAGATTATTTTCAGAAATCTTGTTATTATGCATAGCTTATCTGCTTCAATTCTATTCTGTTCTGTATACATTGTTTGATCTTTTATACATAATGTTTGTCACCTTCTTCTGATCTGGGATGACATCAGTTTCCATGGACTCAAATATTCCTTTTACTAATTGAGCTGCTGGATTATTCCCACCTCGAACTTTTCTCTTCAACTGCTGAATATAATTTTCAAAGGGCCATGCAGCACAGTTCTCCAATGATCCAAATGCATCAGCTTCTGTTTGTAAATCCAAGAGACTGTGTACATTATACACACAAAACATTTCTCCATACAACCTGCGACAATTTCGTACAAAGTTACACAGTCGGCGATGCGCATAATCTGAGTAATTCGAAACAAGATCTTCATTTAAAAGAATTGTTATCGCTACGCAAAGACAAATAACCTTTCTGTACAAATTATGCGGTATCACGCCTTTTAAAGCAAATTGCCCTGTATATAGAAGGAACTGACGGAATTTTGTAGCTTTCCATCTATCAACTTCCTCAAGACTTCTTGTTTTTCTGGCAAATTCTCGGGATATATAATGTGCCAATGACAGAAGTTTAGTGCTAATCTGAGAAATTTTGCCACTAGACAATCGATTATTTGCTCTTGGACCCCGCATCCAAGTTAACAAAAGCTTTTTCATTACACCAAGACACACTTGATGCATGTAATCCACTGGAAAACCTTGTATCATATTTATTGGTAGGTCTAGAAATGGAGATCGGACATCTTGTTTATGATGCTCTTCTTGTGTTTGGTTAAAAAATGATGCATTTGTTCTTATTATCTATGACCAGGTAGGTCATACGTCCAATATACTGCCCATGCTGCTCACATTTGTCACATCCGAAATACCCAGAATATTGTTTGACACACTGTACAAATGCTTTTGCTGGTGCATCAGAAATTATACACATGATTTTAATTTTAAGATGTTCTTCATTGATGTATATTCCATTTGTTATTAAATTATTAAGGTCAATAATAGTTTCATTCAAGAACTCTAAGTTCGATGGTTTTGAAGTACCGGTACCAACAGTCAATGTTATAGGGAACGCTTTTGTCGGTTTTAAATTGCAAATGAGTCCTAATACAGGCCACACGGTTGTTTTGCTGCTTTTAAACAAAGGTAATCCATCAATATTTAGAGATAGGATTAATTCATCATTAAGCGCCTCAATGTCAGTTTGAGCATATTTCTTTAATGTATTAAAAATCATCAATTCAAGCCCAAAATGGAAATATTCCATGTCTGATATTTTTTGTAGGTCAACGTGCCTTGGTGTTCTCAGAAGTGTGCGCGAAGAAGCTGGAATGTTTGGAGTTACAGTTTTTCTTAATCTTTTAAGCTGATCATCTACGTATACTGTACTTGCGTTAACTCTGTTCAATTTAACCCATTCTCTAAGTGTATCTACCACTGCACTTTGACCATCACTGAAATCGGATTCCCTATCAGAAGATGAAATATATGCGGCGAAATTTAGATCTATTCTGTCATTGTTATCATCATCAGATGGTGCAATGTCACAAGCTGGCTGATAGTTTGGTGCAGGTGCATCATGCATGCCTTCAGATGAACTAGTATTTTGCATAACACTAGTATTTGAGCATCGGGGTAATGATCCGGAATCGGTTTCTAAATCCGACCGTTCCCCTTGATTTTGTATGCATAGTTTTCTACGCTTTTCAGATATCCATTTCTTGTTAAAATTCTTGTCGGTTAATTGTATTGGTCTGTCATCTTCACGTTGACTCTGCTCGTTACCAGTTATGTTGTTGTTGGTATCATGGATCAGTCCAAGATCATTTTTGATGAAGATAAGCTCGACAAAAATGTAAAGTTCTGTAAAATTTTATAAGAATCTACTCGTTCAGTTATTGACTTATTGCAATCTTGCCATAAAAAGAGAGTTCATAAAGGATCATTCTGTTGTTACGGACGGTGTTGCTACATATTGACGTTACGTAAAAAAGACGCATTATAACGTTGTTGTGACATTTTTATTTGACGTTATGTTTGAAGCACATGAATTATTACATGTAAAACTTAACAAAATAGAATAAAAGGCTACAATCAATGTTAGATAGTCTTTATGGGATTGCGAGTTCACAGGATCTCAAAATATCTTCGTGCATGTCTCGAGATAGCGATATTTTTCCGTACCTTGATTTCATTTAAAGACGGATGTAACGAACAGCTACACAGGGAAAAGTGGCTCGCATGATTTTCATGCGATTTGCTTTTCGCATGAAATTCATGCGAAAATCATATAAAAATCACGCGAAAAATCACACATGCGAAATTCATGCGAATGTCCTCATACGATATTTATGCGAAATTCATGCGATTTTCATGTGACTGAAATTTCGCATGATATTCATGCGAATTCCAAATTATCAGTTTTTCATGTAAAAATCGTGCGAAATTCGCATAAATATCATGTGATATTCATATACAAGAGAAAAAAGCAATTAACAAAGAAATTGAACATTTCAATGTTTTATTTAGGTTTTTCTGCCACATTGAGTGATAATAATTGCCAGTCTCTGATATCAAATTGCTTGAATGCTCCTAGGTAATCCATTGACTTTAATGATATCTGTGTTTACAGGCAGTTTTTCAGTACGTCTTTTTCAGTCTAATTGTGTCCTGACAAGCTTTCCTACAAAGAAATTTTGATTATTATAAAATACTACAACCCATACTAATATTCCAATTGTTTAGGTCAAAGGGACCAACTCCTAAATTAGGAAGACATACAATGAATATACAAATACAATGAATTCAATTATATCACTTGAAAAGTCAATGTTTTGGCAACCTGTACTACTGAGTATGTTAAATGGTACTCTATGTTTAGAGCGAAACAAAAGACCATGTGTTAAACACATTCATAACTGCATAATAGACTTCGACACAAACAGTGTCTTATTGACGTACTCTATATACCCTGATATCAGGCTGCTATTGAATAAAATGAGATAAAATGTTTCATTTTAATTGTGATATTCCTATTGGATACGGCAATAAACATGTCATTGATGAATTTTAAAAAAATTACTTACTAAAGTACAATACTGAAAAGATTGATTTTTTAAAATCTGAATAGAATAATTAGATAGTACCTCAATTGTTAATAAATCAAATACAATAGTTTAATTAGTTATATTTTTTGCATGGACCTCAAATGAATCCCCTAGAAGGTGGAACCTTTTGTTGGCCTATCATCCTATGTCTAAGTTATTTTGTAGGATACACTCTGTTTATGTGTTATTCTCTTTAAAGAAGGGGACATGCTATCGCCTACATCCACTTCTATGTAGGCGATAGCCTGTCCGCTTCTTTAAGGAGAATACATATGCGTCGGAACAAAACACACAGTCTGTGTATTTTGTTCTGACACATGACGTTGTAGAGACTGTAATGAAAAATAGTTAAAATAATAATAACTTTAAATTACTTACTCAAAATTTAGTAAAACTTCAAATAAATTTCACTCAGCATAAAAAGACCATTCGATTCACCTGGCTGCGTTACGTAGAACCTGAAATGAGAACGAAATCCGAATTTACTCTGAAATATTTCGTTGCAAGTTGAATTATCAATAAATATGTGCATTATAAACACAAAATATGACAAACAATTAACAAAACATACATATCTACCATTGTTTTAAAGAATTAGATCACAATCAGTCAAAAGGAAAGTCTGGAACAAACCATAGAAAGGAGCTCTCGCTGACTAGGTTTCTTTCCTTCTGTAACAGGAAGTGGAGCAAATGGAACCTGGCTATTCAGTTTCGTATTCATCAAAGAATCGGGAAATACCTTAATTTTATAATATTCGTCGTTCATATTTTAATCTTGAAAATGTATCTTTGCTTCAAAGACGAACGCTGATGACTAAGTGATATAAATTTACTTTATGGAACCAAAGCTAGTTTTTTTACGGAAGGCCGTACGTCACAAATTACGTCATCATGCGGATCAGAAACAGACTAGAAAGAGCAGAATGTTTTCTCTGTAAGTTTGTAAGATTTTCAACTACTTTTTATACTAGATATATGTAATAACTTTATTTGGGAATATTTGTTGACAGCTTAATAATACCAGATTCAAGTAGATCTAACATCTAACTGTTATGGTATGTGTTGAAGCTGAAAGAAGGGCCTGATACAGGTTCTCTGCTCTTCTTACAATATTATTGAAAGGACCTAGTGAACTAGGGTAGATCTAATGTTTTGGTTTGTTTTTAGATGCTGTTGTACCTGGATCTGGTATATAAAATTCAGCAAGCAAATAACACACGTAGTGGCGAATCCAAGATAGAGGGGGGTGTGTTGCATGTTGTGGGGTTGTTGATAGAATGTTTTATCGTTATGAAGATAAATGTCCTACTGAACCTGTCACTGAGGGCTTGTCCCGAGACAAAGTTAGATTATTCTATCTACTGGGGTTGCAACCCTCCCCTTGACTTAAATTTGCAAAAAAAGGAATAAGAAGAAAGTTCAAAAGTTTTATTTGTGTTTTTACCATAGAAAATGTTGAGTGAAAAGATAAAGTTGTAATGTATAAAGAAATAAGGTCAATACAAAATGCCCCCCTTTTTACAAAATAGCTAGGATTCTCAGTTTTTTCTTTTTTAAATTCCTTTCTGGTAATCCATACTGTTTACAAATACCTTTTTCCAGGTTTATGAACCTCTTACTTTAAAAACCATGCTCTACCCGGTGTAGTGTGGTATGAGTGTGTTCAGGTACGAGTTAACTTGACACCGGTTGGGATGCGCATGAGCGGAGAGAATGCGGGTGGTTTCGCTCCGATTCCGTGTTCGCGCCGAGTGGGTTCGCTCCGATTACTTGTTCGCGCCGGGTGGTTTCGCCCCACGTGGATTCGCGCCGCTGAACTACTGAAGATACCGCTTATCGGGTAGTCGTTTGATTATCGTATGATCATTAATGACGAGCAGATTAATTATAAATAATGATGAGAGACAAGTCGTGCGTTTTTCAAATGTATTTCCAAAAACTTTATATAAAACACGGTATACAGTGCTGCTATCCCACAAGTTGACATGGGATGGGATCGGATAGGATTCAGGATTGAGGATTCACGATAGAAACATATAGAAGTTAATCCAATCCTATCCTATCCTATCCTATCCTGTATCCTACAGCCAATCAGATTCGAGCAAAGGTTCATTCATATTTCAGAATAAATTACAAAAACGAAATACGATATAAAATGTTTACAAAAGAAATATTTATAAAATTTCAATAGAAAATAAAACATTTTTTTTCTCAAAACACAGATTTACATTATAAACTTCGAGTAACACGGCGTACGATCTAACCGTGAACGATCACCGGAAGATTTAGGAATGTAAACAACGAAGAGTCCAGACATCGAAAGACCGTATTTCTTCAGCTTGTTTGGATGATTTAACCGATTCTTACTTGTGTAAAAGTGTTCTAACATGTTTTCTGTTAAATATGCTCTGTTTGTTTGGATAATTCCACAGGAACAGTCAACAGCGGACTTGAATAGATGATGTGCGAGTTCATGTAAGTATACTACACACTGACACTGTGCATGTTTGCAATTTTATACTTATTTATCCCTCAAAGCAATGTTCTCGTGTCTTAAAATATAAACATTTTATTCTATTTAATATAAACAAAAATTAGGTGCGGAAAAAATGTAGTGTAGACAGAAGGGGGGGATAAAATATTTACAAATACCCCCGTTACTCTGTCATATGATTCAATTAGCTATCAATGAGCTCTAAGACTAAAACAATCATATGTATTATGTCTTAATCAGTTTATTAATCTTATTATTTCCTTAATTCTTTCATTTCAGTGTAACTTATAATAAATTAATGTATAATCATCATGACCATTTCTAATGCTACTGCTGAAATGTTTAATAAGCTCACTCAGCAGTGCACTTACATATTGTACATGTATGTATGATGTATTGTGAGTTATGAAACATAAGTTAATCTTTCAATATTCATCATTACAGTGATGGATTTGCCTGCACTCATGCGTCATCATGCGTCATCACAGTATAAAGGATTTTAATCTAAAAAGTATGTATGATTTTTTTTTTATCATGTATTTTTTTATGGTCATTCAACTACATGTATATAAACATCATTATCTGCTTTGAGGTGACATGTCTGCAGTTTCTCAGAACAAGTGATTTTCTTCTTTCAAAAATCTTGAGTGTTAAACTGAAAGAAATGTTGAATTTTTCTGGTCATCATGTTGCTGTTACATAATAGATATTTTCTTCTTCTTTTACATATTCAAATTTCAAGACCAAAAAAAAAAAAAGAAAACCAAGAAAAAACATTAAATAGATAAATACAAAGAGAAAATAGAGAAAAGTCACTAAAACAAATGTATTCATACTTGTTAGCAAGTTGACAAGATAAAATGAATTATAATGTACAAGTAAATTATCTTAAGTAAGATTTTTTCTTAATTTTATATGACTAAGGTTGCAGTATTAGATTTTATTTTTCATGATTTCTACATGCATTATTTTTTTTTTTAGAGAAAAAGGTGAAATTAAAGCCAATTGTTCATGAAATGTGAAAGATAATCACAATCAAAAACATTTTAAATGTGTATGAAATGTGTATGACAAAATTTAAAATCTACATGCCTATAATTATGTGATTTTTTTTTCAGGAAACCCTGCAGATTTGCAGCTGTGCAGAATGCAGTTCATGCCATATGCTGTTAGAGTAAATGATGAAAGATGTTCAAGCCAGTGTCAATGATTCCTAAGACTGAAATCATAGTACTTTTATTAAGGAGATCAGTGTATGTTTTCTGTGCATTGTTGACATTTGTGGAACTGTTCAGTTTATGACCATCTCTCTGACAAAAACTCTGACATTTGAATTTCAATTTGAGCGTCGAATAAGAAAGTCAAATTAAATGCATGTAAAACATTATACTACGGTAATAAAAACATTGATAAACTTAAATTTAAACAAAGTTCATGTACATGTATCTGTGATCTTTGAATTAAAATTCATAAATGCTGTACATGGACACTTTTAATGACTTTGTCTCATGGTAATGGAATATTCAATTGTTAAACATTGTTGACGAATCACCTTGAATAAAAATATTGTGTACTTGATAAAGTTTTTTTTTTCTCATTTAAACACTGATAATTTTAAGATCAAATGTCAAGGACAAATGAAAGGTTTACTCAAGAATGTGTTATACATACTGTGAATTCTTATGCATGTTTATAAGATCTAAGGAACATGTGTGGAGCATTTTAATATTTTTCAATCAGACACTGATTAAGATTCAAAATCCAATGCCAAGGTCAAATACAAACTTGCTTTACTCAAGAATGAGTTATAAATACTGTAAATTCTGAATTTCTCTTACATGTTTTATAAGATCTTAGGAACATGTGTGACCTCACTACAATATTTATTAATATTATACTTTCATGTAAATTACTTGAATCTGATTCGTCGAGAAACATTTGATAAAAAACACTACTACCCGCTGAATAATGAAGCCATGCCCTCCTGCGTAGCAACAGTCAACATTGCTTGACGACGGGTGGTATTACAAAAAATAGTGACTGCGCGGAATTTATGCATGGACGGTTCATTGTAATATGTATTTGTATAAAACATTCAGTATAATATAATAAATATTGCATGTAGTTGAGTGTAACATTAAAGATTTTCACCCCTCGAAAACCACTGTCAACCTCGGCTGCGCCTCGGTTGACAATGGTTTTCTTGGGGTGAAAATTTTCAATGTTACACTCAACTACATGCAATATTTATCATGTTTATATACTGTCAATCTGTCAACCAATATCAAATTTAGAAAATATATTCTATTAAACATAAATTATTAAATTTTCACACATAAAACAAAATAGGAAATTGAAATACATTTGTACGGCACTGAGCTGACCAATAACTGAGAAGAAACTGAAGTTAAATGAAAAAAAAAACATTTCGATCATCTTGAATTTTATTTAGCAACTATATATTTTGCATGTTTGAAAAATATCACACGACAGATGATGAACTGAAATTTAAAAAAGAATAAATTATCAGGCGCGTAGCCAGCATGGAAATAATGTGTACTCAGAAAACGATCAGGGGTCTGGGGGCCTGGATTTTACGAAATTTTTCAGTCATTTTCCCGCAAAAGAAATCACGCTACATCTCTTTTTTCGAGCAAATACTTAGCTAAGTTAATGCTTCCATGGGTACTTCAGAAAGAGAACGATAATTAAATCAAATTATTTTACGCATATATTGGTAAATATATTTTGGGGAAAAAATTTCCAAACGTGACAAGATAAACAGAGAAGTAATTTCAATACCGTTATCATTGGAGTTTAAATATTTCAAAATATAAACGGGGATTGGGGGTCTTTTGTTTACTTATATATTTTGATGGCTTAAACAAGGTGAGAATGCTTAAATAATAATTCTATAAAATGGTAACATCAGCAAAATAAGATTTTCAAACATGATCTTTATTATTATTTACTCTGTACTTTGTTCAGCGGATTTTAAATATTACCATTTTTTGTTTAACTACATTTATTTATTACCTCAACGGAAATTGAAAATCTTATATAGTAGTCCAACGGATTTACAGTTGAACATTTTGGTTCAATTATATTTTCTCTTCCTCAATAATACTGGAATAAGTTTTTGGAATTTGAATTTATAAAAGACGTTGAATTTGATTGCAAAGACATCCTGAATAAAATTTGAATCGAAACAATAAGACGCAAAATAATTTGAAACACGGATCATAGTGTCTTTTTTTCTCTCCGAATAAATCTTTTTCTTTCTTTCTTTTTCTTTTCTTCTTCTTTTATTTTCTTTCTTTTTTTTTTTTTTTTGGGGGGGGGAATAATGTGTACGCACTTGCGTATTTGCGTATAGGCAGCTACGCGCCTGATTATGAATTTAAATTAAAAAAATCATACATTTAATATTTGATATTATAAGACAATTTCACATTTAAAATGTTTAATATGTGAAAGTCAAAATATTCTAGATCCACATTTTGACTTTGTCTGTTTGGTTTATGGTCTAGTCAGATCTTCTTTTTGAGAATTGCATACAGAAAAACCTGTTATGCAGGCACAGTTAGACTATAGATACATGTACATGCATGTTATTTTCATGGTGCTCAGTTTAGAAAAAATAAAATTTTACATGAAACATATACTTAAACATTTTTACCGTATAGGCCTATGATTTTTAAAAATAATTAATTAT